GAGGCGAGCGGACTGCGATATAGTTTGTGTATTCGGTGATTTCCACTTGCTCTGCATAAACTTTAAGGACTGATTCGAGATTCGAAAAGAGTTGTGAATTCTCAGCATTCAGCGCAAGCGGACCTATTGGTAAGGAATTGTGTGGAGGGACTGAATTGTACATTTTTTTCTTACACTCACCACCCACGCTTCCTACGTTAAGTGAACTTCATACTGCAGTGGGCATCTTAGTATATCTCACTAGTTATATCTGCTATGCCATGTATGGAGATTTGCTCATAGAAGTTGGTATTGTGTATACGAGTAACAAATATAGAACACCGTGAATGTAGACTTTATCGATCAACAGCCAAAGAAGGACCGAAAGTGTGACGTCATATTTTTAATCAAATTTGAATGGAAAGCAGACAAGCAGGTCTGTGTCTAGATATCAATATAGATGACATCATTTTCCGTACTCGGAATCTGATTATAATGATATAAGGAGTGGCTTATGACTAGTATTCAAACCTATAAGAGAAATCAACATTATTTCATCGAGTGACAATGATCTTTTCTGCTATATCTCGGTGTGATGTCATCTCGGCGTAGACGGGTCAGGGCGAACGCTAGAAAGCCCGCCCGACGTCCGCCTCTGGCCAGGCGGAGGCGGAATACATTTTGCACGTGCGGACACGCAGCGTCAGTCATGACCCAAGGTGTGACTTGCTATTGATGATCAAATGATGTGGAATAGCAATCATGGATAGGTAAAATAATTAATTAAAAAACAAATTAACCACAGAAAAAAAATCTGTCACTTATGCCTTTTTCATGTGACTGTTAACTGGCAATAATAAAGAGCGCGGCGTGCACGTGGGCGGAGTGAGTGGGGGAGGCCAAACCGGGAGAGCAGATGGGCAGAGGGAAGGCGCGCGGAGTCAGCAGGGGAGTGGGGAGTGGAGGGAGGCTCGGGCTGACTAGGGCTTGGTGGCTTGCAGATAAGGAGACTAAATTTTGAATATAGTTAAGTAGATTTATTGTTTCTATTGTGCAACCTTTATTTCATACTGCACATTTAAAGTATTTGTTCATTTGCAATATTGGTATTTTTCTTGGTGGGCAGGACGGAATTGCAATTTAAAGGTCATCATTTCTGTGCACATTTATCAGGTTGATACGGAAATAGGAGCGAATGAATCCATACTCAGATTATAAAGGCGCATAGTAATTCTTATGGTTAAAATGAAAAACTTTCCTTTTTGTATTTAGCTACAGTGCACTACAATTATTCAATTTCTTGCAGGCTGATACGATGGAGAGGCTTGTTAAAGCATCGCCAAGCAGCCACCGTCACATCAAAGAAAAGGGACTAATGTTAGAGGAAGTATCTGACACAGACACAAATGGCTGGTCATGGAGTCCATCAGCGACCAGGTTGTCATGCTCCTTCTTCCCCCGAGGCTGGTCTTGGAGTCCAGTCGCAGGACGCGAGTCGGGCGAGCAGCCCAACTGTTGGTCATGGAGTCCGTACCTCAAACGCACGCGCCAGAAGTTACGTATGAAGTGGTCGTGGAGTCCTCATACCATAGACATGCCGACGCAAGTGGCAGCTTTCGAAGCTCTAAGAAGGTCGTCTCCAGCACGCAGGATGAATCGCTTTAAATTGCCGAAGCATTGCGGGGAGGAAAGGCCACTTCATGGAAACACGCCCTTTGAGCAAAATGGTTCACGGCGGTTGCGGATGCATGTGCCATGCAATGGTGATGATGTGCATGATTTTGCATCAGTGACAGGTTTGCACTCAGCTCGAGTACAAAATTGTCATAGCCCACCCTTGTTTTTCAAAGAACTAAACGTCAAAACATTTGAGGATGGTCTCAGTAAAGTCACTGATGAGTTAACTGTTTCTTCAGATTGCAATGTTCCCCAAACTACATACAGTTTACAGAATTTCGAAAATATAGTTAAGATTGAAAAAGTAAATGAAGTGATGTCTTGTACTTCAGATCCATCACCTGATGCAGATGGAAATGAATCGTTCGTTGCCGATGGAACGCCACCAGATGGCACTGACGACTGGCATTCTCCACCAGTCCTGGCTGCCACGACTCCACATGCTGGAGGCTCCGGTGTTGTAGGTGATGACGCATCTATATCATTCACTACAGATGGTACTGATCAAAGCAATACATTAGGACTAATAAATAACTCAAAGGATTCTAACAGTGATGTAAAGCAATGTGTGTGTACTATCACTGAAATAAATGTTAAGTACAATTATTCGTCACGTCTGGTTAACAGTGAAAACAATATGAATGCCGAGGATCACTGTCGTGAAAGTAGCAGTAATCTCTGTAATAAAACTGGTGAAGCAGAAATTTGTGTGATCAAAGACATGATAACAATTAATGCTGACACTCCAGCTCCCCTTAGTGTGAGTTGTAACGTGAGCAGAAAGTGTAAAGTCAACGCCAATGCTGATAGAGAAATTAATTCAACCGAGGCAATTTGTACTGAGAAAGCTGAAGGATCAGTCTCACTTGTGAACACAGCTAACAACACGGAAGAGGTTGATGTTTCACCAGATACAGAAAATGAGGAATCGGCAATTGATAATGAAAGTAATGAGGCAAGACAAATTAGCGATAAAATAGTATGTGATGAAGATAATGATTTATTGGGACTAAATGTTACTGATAATACTGCAGGTGAAACACTTGTTGAAATGCGGGAAGAAAATGAGGCAGTAGTTGAAGAGCACAGGGTGTTGGGCGATTCATCGTCACCAAGTGGCGATGATGAAATGCAAGTTGATACATTAACAACCAATATTCCGGGACAAGTTGATGTTTCAGATAATTCATCGCCACTAGACGAATTTGAGGAGTCAAAAAATGGAAATTTACAAGTGGTTGATGATGAAGGAAGCAAGAAGCTGATCAATACAACAGATGAAACTGTAGACGTTTTGCCAACAGAAAACAGCGTTAAGCAAATTGCAATCGATCGTTCGTCAGAAATTGCTGAAGATGATGCAAGAAGCAAAAGCTTGGACACTTCAACAGTAACAGATATCCCTGTTAAAGGAACAAGCGAGGACGATCCAAATGACTTACCGAAGGGCGAGTGTGGGCTTCATGCACCTGTACCAAGTACTACAGAAGACAGTGTATACAGTTTCGATGATCAGAGAGAGAAGTTACCTCTTTCACTAAATGAAAATTCAACAGATAAAACGCATGAAGATAATGACAAAACACATGGTATTATTGATACAATAGCTACTCAAAGGACAATAAACATGCATCCCGAAGATGCATCCGAAACTACCATACTTTGTAATTCATTGATGAATAAAACGCACGATATTGAACCTAGTTGCCAAACACCAGTCGATTCACAAAGGATGAGTTGTGAAAATGAAAACAAAGAAATTTCTTCTGATAAGCGCAGCACATTTGAAATGAATTACAAATTTCACTCAGAAAGAAAACTGTGGGATGTACCTTTGAAAGACGCAAGCAAAAGCATGGATATAAAGAATGCTGACAGTTCTCTGTTTTTCGTAAGTAGTGAGACGGTTAATAGCAACCTAGCAGGCTCCTCAGAGGATCATGCACACCCTGGAAATCCCACGAAAAGCGTAAATAACTCTGGGTCGGTTGTTTCCAGTGACAAATATGTAGATGAAGGAACATTTGATAATTGCCTTTCAAAACCGGCCTCTGCATTTGGAGGATACGAGTGCAGTGACTTTGCTAATGACATCAAAGTGTCGGACATGTCGCAAGAAGTTGATGCTATGACTTTTCAGGGTTTGAGTGATGTGTCTGCATTAGAAGCGATGGGAGGAGAATGGTCACCCGGCGGTAGTTTTCCAGTCTTGACAAGTCAACTATCTTTAGCTGTAAATTATAGGGAAAGTGATAGTTCTACCTTACGTAATGCATATAGTACCCCATCAAAGACCAGCCATAATATTTCTGAATCCGGTAACAGGTTCCTAGACTTGGAAGAGCAAACTTGGAATCCAAAGTCTGTATTAGCAGAATTTAGATCCAGGAGTGCATCACCAACAGAAGTTAGATCCAGGATGACATCCCAGTGCATCACCAACCACGAGTGCATCAGAAGTTAGATCCACGAGACAGAAGTTAGATCCAGGATGCATCACCAACAGAAGCGAGTGCATCACCAACAGAAGTTAGATTGCATCAGAAGTTAGATAGTGCATTAGATGAGCATCGACAGTCAAGCTTAGATAGTGCATGTAGAATCCCAAGAAGTGATAGTTAGTTACACGAGTGCATCACCAACAAAGTTAGATACGAGTGCTTAGATAGAGTATCACCAACAGAAAAGTTAGCACGAGTGATCACCCAGAAGAATCACCAACAGAAGTTAGATCCAGTGCATCAAGTGAAGTTAAAGATCCCATAATAGTTATCCACGCATCACCAAACAGAAGTTAGATCCACGAGTGCATCACCAAACAGAAGTTAAGATTGTGAACCAACAGAAAGGAGTGCATCACCAACAGAAGTTAGATCCAGGAGTATCACCAACAGAAGTTATTGAGATCCTAGGAGTGCAGAAGCGAGTGCATCACCAACAGGAGTTAGATCCACGAGTGGCATCACCAACAGAGCAGATCACCAACAGAAGTTAGATCCACGAGTGCATCACCAACAGCAGATTCAACAGAAGTTAGATCCAGAGTGCATCACCAACAGAAGTTAGATAGCAGAAGCCGCATCACCAACAGAAGTCGAAGTGTCACGATCCAGTGCATCATCAACAGAAGTTTGAACCAGACAGAAAGTTAGATCAGGAGCATCGCCAACAGAAGTTAGATCCAGGAGATGTTAGATCAGTGCATCGCCAACAGAAGTTAGATCCACGAGTGCATCACCAACAGAAGTTAGATCCAGGAGTGCATCACAGAAGTTAGATCCACGAGTGCATCAACCAACAGAAGTTAGATCACGAGTGCATCACAGAAGTTAGATCCAGGAGTG